TGAAAAAGGAAGTTATGCCTCATCAATCTATTGGGATTCTTTGAGGATGTCAGAAAGCATGGGGACAAGAATGATCCGGTTGATATCTGGTACTGGGACTTTCAGAAAGCATTTTGATAAGGTCTCATACCAACAGCTCTTGATAAAAGTATGCAATCCTATTATAAGAGTGAAGGTCCTCTTGTGGATCAGTGACTATAAGAAACAAGGGGTAGAAATAAATGGTCACTTTTTATAATGGAGAGAGAGAAATAGTGGGGTTCACCAAGGATCTGTATGGGGAACTGTGCTATTCAACATATTAATAATTAATACCTGGAAACTGTGGTGGTGAAATTTGGAGATGATACAACATTTCTCTAGATAAGTCCAATGCTAACTATAAAGAGTAACAAAGGGAGATGACAGTATGGCAGATGAAATTCAGTGTTGATAAATGCAAAGTAATGCACATTGGAAAACACAACCATGTATATAAAACACTCAGGAAAGAAATCTTGCAATCATTATAGGTAGCTCTCAGAAAACATCAGCTCAATGTGCAGCAGCAGTAATCTCCTCCCTTCAAAACTAACAATGTTAGGGACCATTAGGAACGCTATCAGAAAATATAATGATACTGTGTAAATTCATGACTTGCTTATGCCTGCAGTCCCCATCACAAAAAATATATTGGAGTTAGAAAAGATGTAGAGAAGGGGAACAGAAACGATTTAGGGTATGGAACAGATTTCATATGAAGAGAGATTTTTAAAAAGGCCGGGACTGGTCAGCTTAAAGAGTCGGTGAAGAGCAGGATATAATAGAGAGTGATAAAATAATGAATGGTATGGAAAAAATGAACAGGGTCATGTTTATCCCTTCACATAACACAAGAACTAAGGGTCACCGAAAGAAATTGATAGGCAGTAGGTTTAAAGCCCCACCCAAAAAAGAAGTACTTCTCCACGCAACACAGTCAACTAGTGGAACTTTTTGCCAGAGGATATTCGTGAGGTCAAAAGTATAACTGGATTCAAAAAAAGAATTAGGTAAGTTCATGGAGGATAGATCCATCAATGGTTGTTGGCCAAGATGATCAGGGACACAATCCCAGGCTCTGTGTCCCTAAACCTTTGATTCCTAGAAGCTGGCACTGGATGAGAGGGACTAGATCACTTAATTGCCCTCTTAAATTAATTTCCTCTGAAGACTGTGGCATTTGCCACAGTAGGAAGACAGGCACTAGGTTTGGTGGACCATTGATCTGACCCACTATGACTCTTTATGTTATAAAGGTTTGGGGGGCTGTGCCCTATGTGCGCTATGCTTGCAAACCCCCCTCTCAACTGGGGAGGGCCTGTTACTGAGGCCACCCTAGCCCCGGCTCTCCCCACCTCCTCTCCTGGCTGCTGGGGAAGGCCGGCTTCCAGTAAGGGGGGCTGAGCCAAGGCCACGCCAGGCTCAGTCTCTTTCACTGCCTTGCCACCCCTCCTGACACCAGGGAGGGCTGGGCCAAAGCCTCACAGCTATGGCTCTTCCCTTGGCTGCTGGGAAGGGAAGAGGTGGGCCAGGCTGGGAGTTGGTGGGGCCAGGGCCTCAGGGAGGCCACTCTGTCATCCCACAGGAAAAAAAAATGTTATATATAGAGGGAGAAATAAAATTTGCAGCCCCTCTTCTCTTACTGCTTATCTAACTCAGAATTTAACCAGCAGCAAAGGTGTTTATCAGATCAATTTTGGAAATTATGCAGTTGTTTGGCAAGAGACTTAATTCTTTAAAAATAAATGTATATATTCCTAGTTTGGAAGAAGAGTGCGAATCTTCTCTTTGCACAGCTGCTTTAAGAGCCAAGAATCAGAAGCTCCACAATGATATGAAGAAGATGACAGCAGCGTTTGAGAAGTTACACATATACACTAGTCTTCTTGTCTTACCAAGTAAGTGTCCGTTTTGGCTCCAATCTATTGACATAAGAAGGATGCCATACTTCCTGGTTTTGAACCGACGATATGCAAATATGAAACACAAAATAGGCCTTCACAGAACATCATAATACACTGGCTAACCTAAAGGTGTTAAATGCTGATTTTTTTTAAAAAAAGGAAAAGATCTATGAACTTTGGTAGTATAAATATAATTTATGCCTTCATATCTTCTGTAGACTTTTTAAGCCAGTATGAGAGCATTCCGTCTTTAATTATTAGGTCAGAACTTTCTATGCTTCCTTACCACCAAAAAACAAACTGTTTGCCTTTCTTTCCCCTCAACAAAATACAGAAAAAGCTTTGCTATCCAGCATATTGCAGGAACAGTGGTTCCAGTTAGTTAAATATTTTTGTTAACTAGCAATTCGAGATGCATGAGGGGTTTCTGGTTTGAGGCATGGGGATGGGATCTGGGAGAGGGTACTGAGCTCTCGGCTGGGAGTGCAGGCTGCAGGGTTGATTCAGGGTGCCAGAGAGGGATTGAGGCTAAGACAATAGGGTGACTGGAGATGAGGGCTCTGGGATGGAAGGTGAGGGTATGGGCTGAGATTTAGGTGGGGATCAGAGCTTGCAGGCTGCGGGGGAGGGTTGGGTGCAGAAGGAAGCTTGAGGTAGAGGGGGAAGGGTATAGGAGGAATTTTGGGGTTCTGGATCTGAGTCCAGTGGCTCCCTGAAAGCAGCAATAAGTCACTGCTGCTCCTAGACACATACAGCTAGGTAGCTCTGCCTCTGTCCATAGACAGTTCCACTATTGTCTTCCACCCAAGTTTGATAACTTTTTATCAGCCAACAGGAGCTACAAGTCGGGGGCAGTGCTTGGAGCCTACATGCTTAGGAACAGCAGGGACGTGTCTATTTCCAGGGAGCCATGTGGGACCAGTAGATTCCCTGCCTGTAAACTGGACTTTGATTGAAGATCAGAAATGCCAGTTTTAGAGCTTTTCAGTTGGTACAGGGTCAGATAACTCCGCTTTCGCTGTACAGCTCAAACTTACCTTTTTAATTATAGTAGTATGTAAGTGATATACAAGCAATCAGTTAAACATCAGTTTAATTCTCTCAAATAAATTGTGAAATGAATGACTACATTTGTACAGGCATTTCTATCTGCCCTTTTCTAGTAACTATGCACAGCCAGTTCACATCCAAGTCCAGTAAAAAATAATTTAAAACAAGATGTTAATAAGCGATCATGAATTAAAACCACAACATAGCAAGGGACAGGTGACTGTGTAGCCAGTGGATACAGAGGTACTGACAACCAATGATCCATTAAAATTGAAATATGGAGAAATAAAAGAATAAATAATAGTAAGATATGCAGAATGGAAATCTGGCTTGCCGACTTTTCACTGAACATGGCAAGCCTATCAATGGTGGTATATAACCCAAACTGCAAAGATCTGCTTTAAAATTCTTACCATTCTCAATTCCTAGGTCTTAAAAGATCATTATTACCTTAACTCCATTTGCCTTAAGTCCCAATTATGAGACACTAGAAGTGAACATTTATAATCCCTTATCTTTTTGTTCACTTCTTCCAACTCTGATTAGCAGTCAACCTTCTCCGTGGGCCTTTTTCAAGTATCAGAATTTTCCTCCCAAAGAACAACTCTCCCAAAACCTCAATATTGCACTTATAAAAACAAATATGGCTTCTGCAAATATCCTTCGTTATTCCTAAAATGTGATTCTACTATTGTCTTCCACCCACGTTTGCTAACTTGATGAGCCAATGGGTGCTCTGGACCCAGTGCTTGGTACAGGGCACAGAGCCCCTAGAATCATAGAATCCTAGGGCTGGCAGAGATCTCAGGAGGTCATCAAGTCCACCCCCCTGCCCAAAGTAGGACCAACCCTAACTAATCAACCCAGCCAGGGCTTTGTCAAGCCAGGATTTAAAAACCTTAGGGATGGAGATTCCACCACCTCCCTAAGTAACCCATTCCAGTGCTTCATCACCCTCCTAGGGAAATAGTTTTTCCTAATATCCAACCTAGTCCCCTCCCTCACTGCAACTTGAGACCATTGCTCCTTGTTCTGCCATCCGTCATACTGAGAACAGCCTCTCTCCATCCTCTTTGGAACCTCCCTTCAGGAAGTTGAAGGCTGCTATCAAATCCCCCCCTCACTCTTCTCTTCTGCAGACTTAACAAGCCCAAATTCCTCAGCCTCTTCTCGTATGTGCTCCAGCCGCCTAATCATTTTGGTTGTCCTCTGCTGGACTCTCTCCAATGCGTCAACATCCTTTCTGTAGTGGGGAGCCCAGAACTGTATACAGTACTCCGGATGTGGCCTCACCAGTGCCAAATAAAGGGAAATAATAATTCTCTGGCAATGCTCCTCCCAATGCAACCTAATATGCCATTAGCCTTCTTGGCTACAAGGGCACACTGTTGACTCATATCCAGCTTCTCATCCACTGTAATCCCCAAGTCCTTTTCTGCTGAACTGCTACTTAGCCAGTTGGTTCCTAGCCTGTAACAATGCTTGGGATTATTCTGTCCCAAGTGCAGCACTCTGCACTTGTCCTTGTTGAACCTCATCAGATTTCTTTTGGCCCAAATCTCCAATTTCTCTAGGTCACTCTGAACCCTATCCCTCTCCCCCTAACTTAGTGTGATCTGCAAACTTGCTGAGGGTGCAATCCATCCCCTCATCCAGATCATTAATAAAGATGTTGAACAAAACCGGCCCAAGAACCCATCTTTGGGGCACTCTGGTTGAAACCGACCACCAGCCAGACATCAAGCCATTGATCACTACCCATTGGGCCCTGTGGTTGTTCTCCACCAAGGAGCAGCAGTGCCATGTTACCACTTCCAGGAAGCCAGGTAGGGAGCTTCCTGGCCCTTCACCAACCAGACTTTTAAAGATCAGAAATTCTGGTGTATAGAATTTTCCCGTTTGAACAGGGTTGGATAAGTCAGCTCTTAAGTTTGAGTTGTTCAGTAAAAGCTATCTTTCTAACTACAGTCGTACGTAAGAGAAACACACAAAAATCACTTAAATGTCAATTCAGTGCTATAAAATAATACCAAAATCATAGAATACTAGGACTGGAAGGAACCTCGAGAGAGACCATCCCTGATAGACATTTATCTAACCTGCTCTTAAATATCTCCAGAGATGGGGATTCCATAACCTCTCTGGCCAATTTATTCCAGTGTTTAACTACCCTGACAGTTAGGAACTTTTTCCTAATGTCCAATCTAAACCTCCCTTGCTGCAGGTTAAGCCCATGGCTTCTTGTTCTATCCTCAGAGGCCAAGATGAACAAGTTTTCTCCCTCTTCCTTATGACAGTTTTCAGATATCTAGAAGGGTGTCATGTCCCCCTTCAATCTTCTCTTTTCTAAACTAAACAAACCCAATTCTTTCAGCCTTCCCTCATAGGTCATGTTCTCTAGACCTTTAATCATTCTTGTTTCTCTTCTCTGGACCCTCTCCAATCTTCCCACATTTTTCTTGAAATGCGGTGTATACTAAAATGTATACTAGCATAGTAAATGAAGTGTCCAAATGAGGAATGGAGTGGAAATGATCGCTAAGGGGTGTACCCCCTTGCTTTCTGTGCTCGCTAACCCTCCTGTTTCTGGGGGTAGGCAGGCCTAGCTTTCCCTCCCTCCCCCCAGGCACTGGGTAGGACCAGGGCCGCATCAGCCTCTTGGGGCTCTGCTCTGGTTGCTGGGATGCCAGAGGGCCACCCCAGCCCCGAGGCCTCGGTCTCTTGCCTCCCCAGCTTTCAGGGCTTCCCTCCCCCTGGCCGCACCCCAGACTCTCGGCCACCAGAGGAGGGCCGGGGCCACACCAAGGGGTGGCGGCAGTCTTCGGGCAGGCGCTTGGGCTGTTGCCTGTTTGGTGCTCCAGGCTCATGCTGCTTCTCCCCCTCCCCCCCCAAAATGTGGGGGAGGAGGAAACCCGTGTGAGGGGGAGGGCACATAACTCCGGCCCACCCACAAGGAGAGGAGGGTGCAGGGGGGGAGAGGGAGATCTCTCTCTCTCTCTAAGATAATGGTTATTGCAACAATTGTTTCACACTACATATATAATTGATTTTTTTTTTCCAAATCAAAATATTCTAGTGTAATTATAGTGTCTGAGCAAAATTGGGAAAAAGCATAGAAGTCTCATTTGCTTATCTTGTTAGTCTTTAAAGTGCTACATGACTGCTGCTTTTTTTTTTTTTTGACTTGGTTATGTTAGCAAAATTCATTTCTTAAGGAAGATTTTAATAATTATGGGTTTAGTTCAGTTAACGAAAGACTTGCTTCTGTGGTGCTAAAGATAAAACCTGCAAATATTTCCAGCATTCAGAAACCAGAGTACTTTCAGGGTTTGGTGGTTCGTTTTTTTGTTTTTGTTTTTGTTTTTTTCTTAAATGATCATTGTCAACTTGCTTAATGGCTTTTAGGTATAAAACCAGAAGGGCTGCTTCGGACAAATTACAGTTCACTATTCACACATATTGCTGCATGTCTTCATGGATTTCATGATGTTATGAAAGGTGAGACTAAATAAAGGGTAAGCAATTTAAAATGGACTATATCTTAATTGTGTTGGATGCTTGGTTTTGAAAGTAAGACTTACTACCTCTACATCGAGTAATTTAGTTTGTAAAGGGTTGTGTTAAAGTCTGAAAGACCTAAAATTAGACACCCAACATAACTTTAGTTTGCAGGTTTGTGAATGCCTTTTGTGGTACTTCCGCTAGTCTGACTGTTGCCTTCATTCTTGTGCTTAGACAGTATTAAAATAAACAATAATACTTCGCTGGTTGCTTCAGAGTGTAGGATTCTTCTGTGTTAGTGTTCTGCTTTCTCAAATGAAACTAACCTGTAGAATGGAAGGTCACTGAAATGCACTTCATATAAGCAAACGTACATGTATATGCCCACATTCATAAACATCACAGCTGATTTGAAAATCTCAGCTGTTTTATAGTTGTATTTTCTTATTGTAGGGTGGGGCTGAGGATTTTCTCTGAACTAGAATATGTATGGCTATGTCTAGACTGCAAGCCTCTTTCGAAAGAGGCTTTTTCAAAAGATACTTTAGAAAAAGCCTCTTTCGAAAAAGAGCATCTAGACTGCAAGCGGAACTTTCGAAAAAGCAAGCCGCTTTTTCGAAAGAAAGCAGAGAGTGAGTCTGGATGCTCTCTTTCTGAAAAGCCCTGTTGGCATTCAAGAACTTACTTTCGAAAGAGCACTTTCGAAAAAAGGCGTTCTTCCTCGTGAAATGAGGTTTACCACCGTCGAAAGAAAAGCCGCGTTCTTTCGATTTAATTTTGAAAGAACGCGGCTGTAGTCTAGACGCAGGTGAAGTTTTTTCGAAAAAAGGCTACTTTTCCCAAAAAAAACCCTGAGTCTGGACACAGCCTATAATAGTAGCCCAGTGTCTGGGAGTCTGTAATGCTGAAATGCTAGCTGTTCCCGCTGGGCAGCCCGTGCTGCATGGGGAGTGTGGGGCCCAAACAGTCGCTTGCTCCCCCGCGGCGGCCCGGCTGAGCAGCACAGAAGTCAGCCCAGCACCACTGCAGGAAGCGAAGGGGGGTGGGGCGGTGACGTGCGGTGTGACAGTGGCTCCAGGCCCTGCCCTCTGACTGTGAACGTCACCGCCCTTCGTCTCCCGCCGTGGCGCTCAGCTGACTTCTGCGCTGCTGAGCCAGGCCGCTGCGTGGGAGCAAGTGGCACAAGCGACCCCTCATGCAGCACAGGGAATGCAGCGCCCAAACGGCCATTTGGGCTCCGTGGTGCCCCGAGTGAGAGGCAGGAGGGGGAGGAGAAGAGACAGAGAGAGAGACACAGACAGACAGACGGCTCAGGAGAGAAGACCGATGTGGAGGAGAGACCTGAAAATCACGTCTTATGATGGGCTAATTGGCTAGTATGTATAATAAATGAGAAAAATTGAACTGTTCATCTTTGATACTGTAACTCTAACTTTTTCTCCAAGTATAATTTAATTATGTATAGCAGACATTGCTATATAGTACAAACAAATTGTATTTTATTTGACTTTTTATTAATGCTAGTTGGTTACTAATAGGGAGAGGATTAATTACAAATATTTTAAAATACCTTTACAAAATATGAAACATGTTGGAGCTCTTTCTAGAACCAAGACTACTGAGAATTTTTGGTGCTAAAGGAAAGAAAGGTAAATTTAGTTGACTTCTTTTTATATTGATAATTGTAATTAACTGTATAAATATCAGTATTCTTTAGTTGTCAATGAGGTATTTCCATTGTTCACTTTGCTAGTAATGTTACTGCAGTTTATTACTACATACTGCAGTTTGTTTTTAAAAGTTAGTTGTTCTGGAGATGATTAGTTTAATCTTAGTTTCATTTTTGTTTTCAATATACCCTTACAAAATGGACAAATTGTCATTAAAGCAATGACAGTCACTATAGATTTACTTGGAAGCACCGGAAATGTTATTGAAAGAGGCTAACATGAAGATTCCTTGTTGAATGAAAACAACCACAAAAAGAGGATAAATTGTTGCATGGGAAGGTGAAAAGCTGCTTAGATGTTTTGGGTTTCTTCTTCTTTCATATCACAGTTTATAAAAAGTAGCCTGGTATCTAAACCAGATAAAATCTTTTCTAGGGTACGTCTCCACTGTGCTATCTGCGGAACAAGCTGCCCGGAATTTTGAAATATTTTTTGAAATAACGGGCGCGCTGTTTTGACATTCCTGTAACCCTTATTCCACATTTGATGTCTCAAAATAGGGTGTTGTTTTGAAATTTGGCACCATGTAGATGCGCCAAATTTCAAAATAAGCTATTTCAAAATAGAATAGTGCAAATTGCTTCTTATTTTGACTTTAGGTTGCTGTGTAGATACACCTCTAGTGTGTAATTTTTTTCCATAGCATAGACTTACCGTAGCTTTTATAGTCCCTCTTTTTGTTGCTTGTGAGGGACTATAAAAGCTGCAATAAGTCTATGCTATGGAAAACAATTACACAATAGAGTTGCATCTACACAGCTGCTGCAACCTTGATCAGTTCATTTAGTGTCAGATTTTCAGAAGTGCCCAGCATCCACTAGCTTTTAGTTGACAGCAATTAAGGGTTGGGTATAGGAAAGAATATAATGTAGTACGTAGATAATTAACACAATGTAATTTATTTTCATTTAGAAATTTCCAAGCACTATAGTCAGAAAGCTGCCTTAGAACATGAGCTTCCAACAGCCACACAGAAACTTATAACAACAAATGACTGCATCTTGTCCTCAGTAGTGGCTTTAACAAATGGAGCAGGCAAGGTAATTTTTTTTTTAGCCAAAATCTAGTGGTGTCAATCTAAATTAACATTTAAGCACTGTCTTTTTCTCAAAGATTAAACTAATATATAACTCTTTCAGGATATCACAAAATATGCGAAGATTTGTTTTAAGGTCTCCAGATCTATTTGCATATTAGTTCACTATTGTTGTGATGCATTGCATTACTGCCAAAGTTACTTGTTTAATAGAAGAGCAGGTACAATTGGGAATGATCTTTGTTTAGTTCATGGCTGTGTAAAACCTCTAATAAATTTGTACTTGCAGTCTTGCTATGAACTTCGGTTCCACTGACACTTCTTTCTCTTCTGAAGTAGCTCTTTTGTTGTTTCTGCCACTTTTTTCTATTTAAAATAAAAATCTTTTTTGACCTATCTAGATTGCCTCATTCTTTAGTAACAACTTAGACCACTTCGTGGCTGCATTGAGCTATGGACCTAAGGAAGGAGCACAGTTCATCAGCCCTCTATCAGCTGAATGTATGCTCCAGTACAAGAAGAAAGCAGTTGCCTACATGAAATCTTTAAAGAAGGTGTGTGTTCAGTTAACATTTACATTCAATAGACAAAGCAAAGGATAGTTAGTATATAATTCAATTACCTTAGACAACAGAATCCTCTTAATTCAAGATACAGTATGGAATAGACTTTTCTCTCCCATGAAATAAGAATTCATATAATACTAAACCTGGAAGGGACCTCGAGAGGTCATCAAGTCCTGCCCTCATGGCAGGACCAAGCATGATCTAGATTATCCCTAATGGATGTTTATTTAACTTAAGATTCCACAACTTCCCTAGGCAATTTACTCCAGTGTTTAACCACCCTGATCTTTAGGAAGTTTTGCCTAATGTCCAACCTAAGCCTCCCTTGCTGCAATTTAAGCTCATTGCTTCTTGTCCTGTCATCAGAGGTCAAGGAGAACAGTTGTTCTCCCTCCTCTTTGTAACACCCTTTTAGGTACTTGAAAACTGTTATCATGTCCCCTTTCAGTCTTCTCTTTTCCAAACTAAACAAGCCCAATTGTTTTAGTTTTCCATCATAGGTCATGTGGCTTTTTTTTAAAAAAAGATCTTTAATTATTTTTGTTGCTCTTCTCTGTACCTTCTCCAATTTCTCCCCATTTTGACATCTTTCTTGAAACATGGTACCCAAAACTGGACACACTGTGATAATTAGGCCTCAATTTGAGTAGAGTGGAAAAATTACTTCTCGTGTGTTAATGCATGCCAGAATCTTGTTTGTTTGTTTTTTCCCCCAACAGTGTCACACTGACTCATATTTAGCTTGTAGTCCACTATAACCCTTAGATCCCTTTCTGCAGTACTCCTTCCTAGACGGTCACTTCCCATTCTGTGTGAAATTGATTGTTCCTTCCTAAGTGGAGTGCTTTGCATTTGTCCTTACTACCCTTCATCCTGTCTCTCAGATCATTTCTTGAGTTTGTCCAGATCATTTTGAATTCTGTCCTCCAAGGCACTTGCAATCCTTCCCCACTTGGTATTATCTGCAAGCTTTACCAGCATACTCTCTATGCCATCGTCTAAATCATCAATGAAGTTATTGAACAGAACTGGTCCCAAAACTGACCCGAGGAACTTCACTTGTTATGCCCTTCCAACATGACTGTGATTAGTACAAGCAGTCCCCGACTTACGCGGATCCGACTTATGTCCGATCCGCACTTATGAACAGGGCTTTCTCGCCCCGGAGCTCACAGGCAGTGGTCAGCCACCTTGACCTCCGGGGCGAGAAAAGCTGCTCCCGGTGCCCCTGGTCTGCTGGGGACCGTCTCCAGCAGACCAGGGGCA